ACTGAGCAGAGGGATTCATTACAGAATGGGTTTTCTTCTGAGTTGAGGGGTGCCTGGAGGAACAGGTGTAGGGTAGTGTTATTAGTTGACTAAGTCCGAACAAGGCAGAGAATTAGGCTCCAGGCCCCTGACGTAGAATTTCCAACTCTTGAGGGCTGGAACACAGGCATCTTCCGCCGTGCCTGTTGTATATGATGCTGGGATTAAACCCAGGGCTTCACGCCAGGCCAATGCTCTGCCTCCCAGGCCACATCCTCAGCCCCATGTCAGGCCCTGACTCTGCAGAGGAAAACTGTTTCCAAAGCCGCTGGGTGACAGAGTAAAACTGGAAGTTGGGGACAGGTTCTCCATATGGAACCTAGATCTTCCATAGACCACCCCAGGCTGAAAGGTGTGGAGGGAGCTGGGTGTCTGGAATACGCTGACACCCAGACCTCAGCCTCAACCATCTCTGCTACTCAGAGACGGTAGCAGCAGGGCCTCAAAGGCCTCTACCCCCAGCCAAGACGCACCCATGTGCAAAGGGACCAGCTCTGGGAGAAATACACAAATATTTACAGGTGTCCTGTGTGTGCCGGGCACTGGCTGTATGCCTTCCACCTATGGTCTCCCTAAAAACCCCACTGTAGCTCCTGCCCTCTCTCTTGTCCACAGCTGAAGAAACTGGCTCAGCATATTTGCCTTCACATACCAATCATGCTCAAGCCCATTGTCTTTTAAGTTGTTCCACAGACTAGCAATTATACCCCTCTGTTTGCTGTGTGAGCTCACAAGGCCCGCCCTCACCCTCTCTGGCTGACCAGCGGATTGACTAATCAGCTAAGTGGCTTCCTTCAGCCCCTCCGCCCCTCCTTTTCCCGGCACCTTTCCTGGAGCTGTAGGGATAGATGTCCTTAACACGGAGCTGGAGACTGAGGTGGCACTGGTGGCAGAGCACTTGCAAGCACGCACGAGGGCCTGGGCTGGATCCCTTGCACCGTCAGAGCAAACAGACCCTCTGCGTCCAGTCTCCCTTACAGGCTCAGGATCCTGTGAGGCATTCTGGTAGCCACTGGTTCCCAGCGACAGCCTCTCAAACCTTGACGGTCATCCTGTTTCGCAGAAGAATCAGCCAAGCGGAGAGAGGTTGCTCACGTGTTCAGTAAGACCCCTCTGGATAATGTCAGAGAAGATGGCTCAGCAGATAAAGTCACTTGCTGCCAAGCCGTCCAGCCTGAATCGCATCCCCGGGACGGGCAAGGTAGAAGGGAAGAGACAACCGCCTGCAAGTTGTCCTCTGACTGCATACATTGCTCTGTGGCATGCTCGTGGCCACCACCCCTCCCCAAAATAAATAAAATGTAATTTTAAAATAAATAAATAGGACGGGAGAGTTGGCTCGGCAGTTAAGAGCACTTGCTGCTCTTCCAGAGGACCTGGGTTTGGTTCCCAGCACCCACGTGGTGGCTCACAACCATCCTCTTCTGACCTTTAAGGGGACCAGGCACACATAGTACACATACACAACACACAGACAAAAAATTATACACATAAATAAATCTAAAAATGTATAAATAAATAGAATTTTAAAATGGGCAATGGTGGCGTCCACCTTTAATCCCAGCACTCGGGAAGCAGGGGCAAGCAGATCTCTGTGAGTTTGAGGCCAGCCTGGTCTACGAAGTGAGTTCCAGGATAACCAGAGCTGTTACACAGAGAGACCCTGTCTTGAAAACCCAAATAAAATAAAATAAGACACCAAGGGATTCCAAGACTGGCCGTTCGTGGATTTAACCAGGTCCCAGGTCCTTCTAGACCAAGATCTCTACTTGCTTTTGTTTGTTTGTTTGTTAATTTACCAGAGCTGGGTTTCTGTAGCCCAGGCTAGCCTTAAACTTGCTATCTGGCCAAGGGTGACTTTGAACACGTGATCCCCCTTCCTCCATCTCTCAAGTGCTTTGTGAGAGGAACAGTGTGCAACACCACACTGGCTTTGTTTTAACTTTAGTCTTTGAGACGGAGTCAAAGTATGTAGCGAGCTGGAACTCACTATGGAGACCAGGATGGCTTGGCGCTCACAGAAGAGCCTCAAGATTTTGCCTCTGCCTCCTGAGTGCTAGCATTAAAGGTGTGTGCCACCCTGTCCAACTGTTTCTAACTTTAAAATAGGAAATGCGTTTGCATGATTTGAAGTTTCTGGAAGGTCTCTCTCCCATGTGCCTCCTCCCAAGGTAAACACTTTTACTAGGTTGTAATTTATGTTTCCAAAGTTTCTCTCTGCCAACAAAAGCAAATAAGACTGTACTTATCTGCCCCCTCCCCTTTCACAAATAGCAGGACAGCGATAGACAGGCTACTTAAGAGTCTGTCATGGCGTCGGCCGGCCGGAGGTGCCTGGGGAGAGTCGGCAGCCTCACTCATCTCCTCTGTTCTTACTGTGCTGCCCCTGCTGTCTTGAAGTCCTGGGCTCAAGTTTTCCTCTCTCCTGAGCCTCCTGAGTGACTGGGACTACAGGATGCAGCACCACCTGCAGAGAGTGACATTATGAGCCCAGCGTGTTGATATGCCATAATGTATTCAGCCAGCTGCCTTCTAGTGGACTTTTTGGTTGTTTCTCATTATTCCAGGTGTCTTTCTTATTTAAATTTAAAAAAATATTTTCTATTTATTTTCGGGAATTTTATACATGTGTACAATGTATTTTAATCATATCCATTTTCATTTTAATATGTGTTCAGTATATGTGTGTGTGCATACATGTGTGCATGCATATGTGTGTGCATGCGTGTGTGCATGTGCATGCACACGTGCATACTGTGGTGTATGCATGTGCACACGCATGCTTGGTTATGCCTCATAGAATTCAGAGGCTAACTTTAAATGTCTTCCTCAATCATCCTCCACTTTATTTTTTGAGACAGGGTCTCTCACCGCACCTGGAACTTGCTATTTCAGCTAGACTGGTTGGCTAGCCAGCTTGTGGGCCCCGCCCACCCCTCAGCACCGGGATCACAGCTGCACACCACCATGCCTGACTTCGTCACATGCTTGCACAGAAACACTTTACCCGCCACGTCTGCAGGCCCACAGCTGGTTTCCCAGCTCTCTATGCTCCGGACAGTCCTGTTATAGCACTCCATACCCACCCCACTCCTCTCTAAACCCCTGCAGACACCTCCCAGATGCTCTCCCTTAGAGCCCCAGCCGGTAGTCTTCAGTCTTTCCTCCCTTCTCCTCATTTATCTCACCGTGGTTAGTCTCGCCTCGGTTCTGCCTGCTTCCCCAACTAGCCTACAGCAACTGAGACTCAGAAACCAGGTCTTGGACTCATCCGGCTCCTTCACGGTGCAGAGCTGGACACAAAGGTTTTCAAGAGCAATGAGTGTATGCAGTGGGCGTACGGTTGGAGTATGGTTGGAGCTGTGGATGGTGACTCTGCTAGGCCATGTGCAGATCTAAGGGCCCAGGAGCTACCCAGAGCAACGGAGGCCTCATGTCTCATAGGTCTCCAAGAGCAAAGCCTTTATCCTGTGCCTAAGGTCTAGAGCATTTGGGCCGGCCATGATGATGCCCATGACACAATGGGGATCCTTGTGGGGCTGGGGAATCCTTGTTCCTTTCCATTTGGACAGTAGGGGAAACTATGATGTAAAGACAAAAGGTAAAGGGATGGGAGCCTTCAGGATGGCTCAGTAGGTAGAGGTGCCTGCTGCCAAACCCCGTGGACCTACGGGCTGGAGCGAGACAGGGGACTTCTGCAAGCTGTCCTCTGAGCTCCACGGGCGCACTGTGCCACAGTCAAACACAGAGAGACACACAAATAAATAAGGCTGCTTCTTGCTCTTCCAGGGGAACCATATTGGTTCTCAGTACCCACGTCTGGTGGTTCCAAACTGCCTGTCTGTCTAGAAGCTCAGGGGATCTAACGCCCTCTTCTGGCCTCTGTGGACATTTCCACACAGGTTGTACACAAACAAATATTAAATGATAAATAATAATAATAGATATTTTGACTGAAAAGAGGTAAGGGATTACGGGTCACGCGGCTTTGTGCACTGTCCCAGCCGGACCCTTTCCTGTCTCTGTGACATCCGTGTCTTCCTGCACAGACCGACTCTGTTCTCCACTTTTAGAAACCTTCCTGGACTAAGTAGATCCTGTTGACCTCTGCTCCTGTGAACTGCTCCGTGCGTTAGCCAGAGCCACTGCAGAGCTGTACTTAGTCATCCTGAGCCTGCCACCTCCAGTCACAGAAGTCTGTCTTCTGCGATCTCCAGATCCGGGTGGGATAACGTCAGACACGGCCTTCCTCTCGCATAGCTGCTTAACCTACTCCCTACGTGACCACTGAGAGGTCTTCCGTGAGTCCTATGTCCTGTGCCTCAGAACTGCTGTGGTTGGAGGGAACAGTGTTGACCACAGGTGGCCCTCTAACCACAGAAACATCTGAAGAAAACAGTTTTTTAAAATTGTTTTTCTAGTGTTTATTCTCTTCTTGTTTGTTTTGAGACAGGACCTTGGGTAGCCCAGGCTAACCTTGAATTTGCAGTGAAGCCAACTCCTGATCCTCCTGCCTCTGCCTCCTGATGCTAGGATTCCAGGTGTGCCACTGCACAAGATTTGTGTGGTTCAGGAGAACTGAACGGTCATGCACGGTCAGCAAGGAGTCTGCCAACTCAGTTCCCATGGAGTGGTTTTTAACATGACCCTCACCTCAGTTGAGACTGTAGCTCAGGGTAGAGCCTCTCCTAGCACAGCTAGCTCGTCTGAAGTTCCCAGTTCAACTCCCAACACCATAAAAAAAAAAATAGGTCCAGGCTGGGCAGTGGTAGAACACACCTTTAATCCCAGTATTCAGGAGGCAGAGGCAGGCAGATCTCTGTGAGTTTGAGGACAGCCTGGTCTACAAGAGTTAGTTTCCAGATCAGGCTCCAAAGCCACAGAGAAACCCTGTCTTGAAAAAAAAAATTAAGTCTGTTCCATTCCCCCCCCCCATTGTTCCTCCTGCCCTTCCAGTTTACCTGGAAAACAACGTCTGCACAGTGGCAAGCCCTGAAGGCATGGCTCTTCTTGTCTCTTGAAGCTGAAGGGGACTTCTCAGAAATGTCACTATCATGGAAAGCAAACAAACAGGGAGAGAATGTTAAACTGGAGATTAAAGTGACGGGATGAGAAATGGCCACATATGGCTCTCAGCTGCACTGTGGGCAAAGAGCTGAAAAATAAACGGTATCTGAGGGAGAACAGTTCTGATATAGAGTGGCCAGGGGGTGATAGCGTGCTAACGTCAGACTCTATGTGTGTCTCATGTGTGTGCGTGTATGTGTGTGTGTGTGCGTGTATGTGTGTATACGTGCACACGTGTGCACTTGTGTGGGTGCATATAGACACCGGACATTAATGCCACGTCTTCCACCATCACAGTTGACCTTATCAGTTTGTTTGTTTTTTAATTTTTAAAGTTACATTTATTAAGCCGGGCAGTGGTGGTGCACGCCTTTAATCCCAGCACTCAAGAGGCAGAGGCAGGCAGATCTCTGTGAGTTCGAGACCAGCCTGATCTACAAGTCTACAAGAGCTAGTTCTAGAACAGGCTCCAAAACTACAGAGAAACCCTGTCTTGGAAAAAAACAAATAATAATAATAATAATAATAATAATAATAATAATAATAATAATAATACAGGAAAAGAGAATCTGATGTCTACAAAATGCCAAAATTTCCAATGCTACGTTCAGGCATAGTCATTACACAGAGGATCTGACAACAGTGAGGTGACCCGTACAAGCTCAGGCCAATGAGGCCAGCCCACATTCCAGCAGACAAAATAAATAACTAGACCCAACCAGTAAAAAAAAAAAAAAAAGCCTGAAGGGGCGAAAGGATGGGCTGGGGTTGTTGGGAGAGTGGAAGGGGGAGAGCTTGTATGGATATATGTGCTCAAGATGCATTGTTTATATGAATGGAATTGTCAAAGATTAAAGAAAAGATTATTTCATTAAAAATATATTAAGCCCAGCTTGGTGGCCCAAGCCTTTATTCCAGCACTTGGGAGGCAGAGGCAGAAATATCTCTGTCAGTTCGATGCCAGCCTGGTCTACATATAAAATTTCAGAACAGCAGGGCTAATAATAGAGAGACTCTGCCCACTATATATAAAATATTAATATGTATTAAAATCTCCTCGCCGGGCGGTAGTGGGGCACGCCTTTAATCCCAGCACTCAGAAGGCAGAGGCAGGAGGATTTCTGTGAGTTCAAGGCCAGTCTGCTCTACAGAGCTAGTGCCAGGACAGGTTCCAAAGCTACACAAAGGAAATCCTGTCTCAAAAAATGAAAATAAATAAAAATAAAAAGATTTCCTTATCTTTGGAGCCCTACCCCGTGAAGATAGTTTCTTCCTGTGTTCTCAAGAGTGGTACAGAAATTTCTGCATGATAGCTGGCCTGTAACTGCCTGTGTAGCTGGCTCAAACTTTGGACTATCCTCCTGCCTCTGTCTCCCAAGTGCTTTTTCTTGCTAACATCACTTTGTGGAGCCCCGATGGCTACCTTTTTGCTATTTTACAGGCATAGCTTATATTCATCAAAGTATCTGCCCACATGTCAGAGGGTCCACAGGATGCTTGGTCAGGGTGGTTCCTTTTCCGGGACAGAAGAACCTTTTCTAAATTACCCACCCATGTCTGCTCAGGAACGTCCCACAGAAGTAAGGAACTCGCCTCGGGCCTTTCCTGGCCCAGGGAAAAGGGGGTGGACTGGGCGGGCCCGTGGGGAACCCGGGGCAGGGGGCGGCTCTTCTCCCAGGCAGGGCGTGGGCCGGGCGAGGTCCTCAGCGCGGCGCACCGTGCCAACAATGGGCTGTTATAGAAGGAGGCAGGAATGTGGCCCGAGGAGTTGGGCGGCGGGGCGGAGCCGGGTCCCAGCGGCAGCCTCTTACCTGTCCAGGTAGCTCGCATTTCCAGGCGAGCGGCGGCGGCGCCCGCACCACCTGTCGCGGGGTGCGCGGGCGGGGAGCGCGGCTGGGGGCCATGGCCTGGTAGTGTCCCCTGGGGAGACGCTGCGGAGTTCAGTCAGGGGCAGGACGGGGCGAGGGAGGGAAGGTCCTTCCCTCGGGGACAGAGAGGCCTGCGGCAGCATGAAAAAGAACCAGACGATGCAGGGCACCTTCAGCAAACTCTTTGGGAAGAAGCATGCCAACCCTGCCACCACGTCCCTCTACGCCACCAACCCACCCTGGATTTTCACCCAGGAGGCCCAGGAAGAGGGACCCAGGGACTTTGGTGAGTGCACCTCGGGGGGGAAAAAAACAAGGGAGAAATCCCGACGGCGCCTCTTCCTTCCCGATTCAGGCGTCACTTGGGCGCTGGGAAGGCGGGCAGGGGCAGGGACACGTTGGAACCTGCGGACGGGCCAAGGAGATGCTGGGAAGGGGGAGGAGGCGTCGCAGCCCGAGTCAGAGAGGGACCCCCTAAAGCGAGGCCGGCGAACCCTGCCGTCCTCACCTGCTATCCCGGTTCCTTCGCAACCTATGGTGGGGTTTCCGTTTGTGTGGCTGTCTTTGCTGTGTCTCCCACCCCACCGCATATCCGCATTCTCTCTGAGTCAGAAGTGATCCTGAGATCTAGGCATCTCTCCCTCACCCTTTCCGCTTCCTCTGCCCCGCGAAGAGCCTGCCTCAGGTGCCCTGTATTTCGCTCAGTTTAGGTAAGAAAAGAGCGACACCGCAGCCACTGCTAACAGGGTGCCAGCCGTTAGCAACACTGAATTAGTTTTGTTTTGGTTTTTTCTTCCCCTTTGGGGCTGGGGGTGGGGACAGTGTCACAGGCTCTTGCCAGGTCCACTTGGGTCTGGGTTGTCTATGGTCTCTGATTACGGAGTCAGAGGTGGGAGAGTGAAGAGCAGGGAGCCCTAGAGTCGAGGGTTTACAAACTTCTGGAAACAAACTGGCCCTGTCCCAGGTCTGGCTATGGGTCACCTTATCTCTTCCTCGATCTACGGTTTGTAGGCTCTTGAATGAGAAGAACCCAAGGAAATGGGAGACAGGTATTCACTTCTTGTTTCTGAGCCATGATTCTGGGGTCTGATGAGGGAGATGTCAAGAGTATCACCCCTTACCCGGCGGTGGTGGCACATGCCTTTAATCCCAGGGGCAGGCGAATCTCTGTGAGTTCGAGGCCAGCCTGGTCTACAAGAGCTAGTTCCAGGACAGCTAGGACTGTTACACAGAGAAGCCCTGTCTCAACCTCCCCCCCCCACACACACACAGAAGAAGTATCACCCCTTGATTTGCCTGCCTTCTTACCTTACGGTCACTGCACTGGGCTACAGAGGATGTTGCAACCCCCATTGGTGCTATGGTTTGTTTGACACCCATATTACTACGTTGGGGGCCAGAACAACAACAAGATGTCACCTCTCTCTGACCCAAAGACCTCTCACCACAGGCGGACAAAACTAGCAGTATGCCTCATGCCCTTTGTGGACCTCAGCATGAGGAAGAGAGGAGAGATGCCTGTAAGGGGACCTAGCTTCAGAGTGGAGAGGGAGGGGTGTTCCTGGCAGACCACAGGCTACAGCAAAGGAAAAGAGAGCAAGGCAAAGTGGGGGTGTGTCTTAGGAACCTGGAGACACCCATGCAGGCAGGCATACTCCAGGAGCACTCTGTGAGGCCCCAACACCCACCCTTTCCTAGATGCAAGCTCCCGAAATGTTTGGTGTTGACTGAGGTTTTGTCTAGTGTCAGGTACTAATATTGGCTATCCAGATGAGGACACCAAGGACAGGGGGGTACAGAACATGTTGAAAATCACAAGATCGAAATGGTAGCGCTGCCGTTGTCCCCGAGGGGACAAATAGACACTTTTCAGTAGACTGCAAACTTACAGAGCAGTCACAGCCAAGCAAGTCTGACAATTTCTAGTACCCCAGGGTCTTACTGTTGAGAGCCAACATCTGGACCCAGGTAGAGCCACTCGCAGCAAGCTTGCAGACTTCACTCTGGAGGAGGGGTGTAGGGTGAACTGAACCAGCTCCCTGACTTCCTCTCTAAAGAGAATCTGAACAGCCTTCCCACTCTCCCTATTTCCCCGATGACCACACTGTTGCTAGGCATCCCTCCTGGAGAGAAGAGGGACAGGGTACCCTGTCAGCTCTTACCAGTCTAGGCAGGGCAGGAGTCTAGGGGACAGCTCCTCCCTGTCCCCGGGGCAGGGCCGGGCCTTCAGCTGACTCAGCTAGGCTGCTTGTGCACTGGGCTGGGGTTTTGGGGGGCGGACAGTACCAACCCACCAGGCTGGCTCTCCTGCGTTCTGGAGTGTTCCCTGGGGTGCTCACAGGCCTGAGAACCCCTCCTCCTTGCTTTGCTTGGGGTTGAGGAGGAAAGCAACTGGCGCTGGGGATTCTGGGATGGCAGTGAATTTGTCAGCCTTACCTGTCTGTCAGAGATAGTGCTAGCTCCCCGGGCCTCAGTGGTTTCTGTTCAGTGTGTAGGGTGTGAAGACTGCTTAGATCAGTGGTTCTCAATCTTCCTAATGCTGCGACCCTTTAATACAGTTCCTCCTGTTGTGGTAATTCCCCCAACCATTAAATTATTTTGTTGCTACTTTGTAATTTTGTTACTGTAGTGAATTGTAATGCAAATATTTGATATACAGTCCTTAGAAGAGGGACTGACTGCCTGAAGTCATGTATATGGCAACCTTTGCAAACACAAGAGGAAGGCAGCTTGTGGTGGTGCACACCTTTAATCCCAGCACTCAGGGAGGCAGAGGCAAGGGGATCTCTGTGAGTTCGAGGCCAACCTGGTCTACAAAGCCAGTTCCAGGATGGCCAGAGCTGTCCCACAGAGAAACCCTGTTTCAAAAAACAAACAAACAAAAAAGGAAACTGTTTCTGTGGAGCTATAAGTAGCTGCAAGAGATGTTAAACTCTAAAGTAGTGCTGCCCAGACTTTCCAGAAAGTTCTCCAGGGGTTCCTAAAGCACAGTTTGTTATACTCAGGTCATTGCAGCTTTTTGTTGATTTTGTTGAGATGTGGCCTGCTATGTTGCTCAGAGTGGCCCTGAACTCCTGGACCCCATCGATCTTCCCGCCTCAGCCTCCTAGCTGGGACCACAAGCACGTCGCTGCCTGGCTGACTCCCACTCTGAACTTTGCCTGTCCCTGCCTACTTCATTTCCGTGTCCTCAGGTGGCTGTACTCCAAAGGAAATAGACCTGAAGAGGCCACCCCGAGGTCTCAAAGGGGTGGGGCATTCCAGGTCTAAGGGCCCCTGAGACCGGCACCTGCCGGGTTTTCAGTGGTGGGGGACGGGTGGAAATCAGAAACCCATGTCTAAGTATGTGAAGGCATTGAGCCTGCCTGGCATTGGCTACCGCCACGTCCCAGCTCCCAATCTGTTTGCACAAGGGCAGGCTGGGTTCGGATAAAATGCAAACAGTCTCAGGGGGTGATGGGTACATTTTTCTAGCCCCTGTATCTGGTGATTTCAGCCCTACTGAATGCAAACGCAGTCCTAATTAAGCCTTCTGCCTCCCGAACAAGGGCTTCAAAGGGCTGAGCCATTGTCTTTTAAGTACTTGAGAAAACAGATTGGAATCTTCACAGATCTTTGTAGACTCCTTTGATAAGAGACTGGGCCACAAAAGCAGCTGCTGGAGCAGCCTGTGACCAAGCTTGCTGTTGCTCCACTTCTGGGGCCTCTTAGCTCAACTCACCTGAGGTTCCTTCCCCGCTGCCGAACCTCCCCATCCCAGCAACGGGAAGCTGGGGATTCTCCCGCCCGCTTCTACCAAAGGAGAACCAGGCCAGGCACTCATCCCTCAGACCTCATGCGGTGGCAGATTCCTCGGGCCCAGGAGCTCGGCTAGCATTCCCTACAAGCCTCCTTCCTAGGTGGTTCTTTGTACCAGGTGGCTTGGGGGAATTCTTGGGCTTTCCTTCCCCTGCAGGGCATACAGCAGGCTGGAAAACAGTGTGTGGTGAACTGTGGCTGACACCTCATCAGCATTCCCTGTGACGGAAGCTGGTTCTTGCGTCCTTCCTGAGACTCTCTCCCCAGGCTCCACACACTTTGCATACCAGGCCAGGCTAGAAGGTGGAAAGTCACAACCCTCCCGGAGTTGAGCGCCCACATCTAGCCAAGGCCAGGCTGTCAAGGGCTTGTAGGAAACTGACTTGTGATTTGCTGGGCTGTGAAGGAGACTTGTTTACACTCCTGTCACCTAGAGTAAACACAGCCTGGAGGTCACTGGAGACAGGCTGTGGCTTCCTGGTTCAGCACGTGCTTGCACATACACCCACCTGACACACCCCATACACACCACACACACACACACACACATGCATGCACATACACACACATGCACGCATGCACACACTCTCTCACCCTCCCTATAGCCCCATTATGTAAGTACCTCTTTTGGCTGTAGCTAACTCTAGAAAGCGGCCCCTCCTTGACAGCTATAGCCCATAAGTTAATAATGATCAGAGCATAATTTTCTTTCTTCTGAGGTATCAGCCACAGGACCCCAAGCCTGACTCATGTTAGGCAAGTGCCCAGCCGTGGAATACACCCCTAACCTGAGTAATAGCTTCATTGTCAGTTCCCATGGCCTGAACTTGTAAAACCCATCGATTCTGTGTCTTCCTGGAATCAAGACTCCGAGGGGCAGCAGAACAAACCCGATCCCACGGGCCCTTGTCAAGATCAGCTCCTGATTGGACAAGTTTGGAATGGGAAGAGGTTCAGAGTTTCTAGCAAGTTCCTGGTGAGGTCACCCGGCTGCTGTGGCCTGAGACAGCCATCCTTAGGGAGACAAGGGCTACCTTTGCTGAACCACGTCCTCTTCACTACACTACACTAGACTGCTGTCCTTTGGGCTGCTCTCCGTTTTTGCACGTCCCCTGCCCTACCTCCCTTCAGCGTCCCCTCTGCCCTTGGACAAAGGCCTCTCTCTGGTGCTTAGGTCAGGCCTGCTAGGGCTTGCTGGAACAAACTGGCCTTTTCAGGTTCCTGTCATGTGAACCTGCTAATTAGCAAGGAAGGGCCTCATTAATGTCATTTGTGGGCTACATTCACATGGCCACCCCTTGTTGCTGATCCTCCGGTGGTGGGAGACTAGAAG